GCGGCCGCTCCGTGCGCTGGGGCCGGCGCCGGGCCCTGCCCGCTCCTGCAGCTGCCCGGCCACAACGGGCGGTGCGGCCGGGGCTCGGCGGCGGGGGGCAGGAGCCCAGCACCCTGCTGCACACTGCAGCCGCCCGCGCTGCACGGCCTCCGCAGGGGGACCCCCGCACATCCCTTACCCGAGCCACGGAATTCCCAGCGGGACACAGGCCCGGCTCCGGCAGCCGTGACGCCCTGCACCGTCACCACGTAGGTGCGCCCAGGTCGGTGCTGCGGCAGCGCGTACTCGGTGACGGAGCCGTCCAGCCGCAGCCGCTCGATCTCCAGGAAGCCGCTCTCACGAGCGTCCCTGGCCGTGATGCTCAGCTGCGGGACGAGACGGAGCTGGAGGGGAGCAGCTCGGAGCCGCTGCCAYGCTCAGAGGGCAGCTCCAAGGGACCATGGACCCCACTGAGAGAAACAGGGCATTTCAGAGGAGCCGAGAGGAGCCGCCTGTGCCAAAGRGACCCAGCAGTGCAGCAACCGGGAGCTCTGCTCTCTCTGTGCCTCTCGGAATTGGACAAAGAGGTTTCTGTGCCAGTGCCCTCCCGGAAGGCAGTGAGCACACGGGGTGMTCTGCATGCCAGTCTGCAAAGCCTCCCAGGCACCAGGCTCTGCAGAGCCCTGAGGAAGCCCRAGGGGCCGGGAGCACCCAGGCTTCTCCAGGCAGCACTGGAGCAGCAGGAGCAGAGGCTGRGCGGGAAACGCGGGTGCCTGTTGGAGCCTGCAGTGCCCCTGCACAGCGCTGGAGGCAATGGAGGCAGGTGCTCATCTCCGCTTTCCTTTCCCTCCCAAGCCATGGTACCCCGGTACCTGGTATGCAAGGATCTCCCCTTTGCAGGGGGGCAGCGCGCTCCAGCTGAGCAACCCGGTGCTGGCATCCAGGGACACGTTCTTTGGTTTGTCCGGCACTAGAAGCAAGGGAGGAGAGAGTCACACGTGGGGCTGGGACAYGGGGCTGAGCGTGGAGCAAGGTGCAGGCAGCTCCTGGCCCATGACAGCGTTCAACSAACAGCCCATGTAGGCTTTTGCACCCAAAAGGGCATCTGTCCGTCCTGCTGCAGCAGCAGGGTGCTGGGGTGGGTGAGGAGAATGTGTGCCCTGCTGTAGTGCCCTGCACAACCCCTCTGCCAGATCCTGGCAAGCCCCAATCCCAGGACCATCCCTGCAGGATGTAGATGCCTGTGTTGAGCTGCAGAGGGAAAGATGCATTTAGTAGGTCCCATCCCACCTGTCCTGTCCATGCTCCACTTGCCCATGGACACATACCGGTTTCCTTCGTCTGGAACGGCCATGCGAATAGGACTGTACTGGGGGGCAAGGAGATGGTGACACTGTAGAAAGTGAAGGGCTGCAGAAGGGGGCAGGTAAATGTTCCTTTCTCTCCCCATAGCATCTCCTCGCCGGTGATCTCCTCAGCTTCACAGGGAGGGGATGAAGGTGAGGCCAGACGACACATGGCCTGCATACGCTCACAGGCATGAGGGATCCTGCAGGTCCAGTTCAGTTTGATGCTGGTGGCAGAAACTTCCAAGGACTCAGGGACTACCCGGAGAAGTTCTGTGAAGGAAACATCACAATGAGATCATCTCCTTCCCTTCCCTCCTGCCTTTGCGGGGATGCTGCAGTCAGAGAGCCCCGCTCGCCACCCAGCAGGGAAGAAGAGGAAGCATGAGGCTGATGGCAATCATGTGTCCGTGCTGGGGAGSAGGAGCATTTTGGGATCATGAGGTGCTAGGAAGACAGGCACGGCTTGATGGATGGATRCATGTGCTAATTGCTGTTGCTCACGGAACCTATTCCCACTCTGTGTTTGTGGATCCAAGCATYTCCACAGCCAAATTGATCTGGCAGTGGGAAAACTACCCTTTCCATGTTGTGCATGGAAGGGGTTTGTTCTTGTGCCCTGGCTGTGTGTGATGAAGGAYGGAGCTCTGGGATATAGAACAGAGGAGCTCTGTCTGYKGCATATCCAGAGAGGAGTTGAGAGGAATCACAGAATACTCAAGGTTGGAAGGGACCTCTAGAGATCATCTAGTCCAGCCTTCCCACTCAATTACAGACAGCTTGAGCATGTGGCACAGGGCGGCACCCAGGTGGGTTTTGAAGACTTCCAGAGAAGGAGACTCCACAACCGCCCTGGGCAGCCTGTTCCAGGGCTCTGTCACCCTCACAGTAAAGAAGTTCTTCCTCACCTGGAGATGGAACTTCCTGTGTTTCAGCTTATGCCCATTTCCCCTTGTTCTATCGCTGGCTGCCAGTGATAAAAAAAGAGGGAAAAAAGAGCCAACAGTGCTTCCCTTGGCCTCCTGGGAAAGGCCAGGAAGAGCATGGARTTCTAGGGATTCTGGGCACCATGGAGGACACTGTCCAACATTTCAGGTGCCTCAAATCTTCTATTGCCAAGACTGATTGTGTTGGAAGTGCCCAATACTGGGCTGAAGTGACAAGGAAGGACATCTTGGAAACTTGGGTCAGGCCCAGAGATTCTCCCCCTGATCCCTGTTCATATATCAGACTGTCACAGGAGCATCACCCCTTTCCTCTCTAGCCCACATTCCCACACTTCCTCAAGGAAGCCCTCAAGGAGCCCCGTGTCACCCACAGGCCAGCACCACAAGACTCCTGCACACACAAGAAGTGAAAGCTGGAGTCCTGCATGGCCAGCACCATGTCATGGGCATGCTCTTTCAGCCCCTTCCTGGCAGGAACCTCAGGGACAAGGGTGGACACCAGCCACTTCCCACTTTGGGGTGCACATGGCAGGCGTGGAGCAGGACAGGGGTGGATTAGGGCTGCATCAGAACGGCCTTCAGCAGCACCCACTGTTTCCCTAGCCTGGCAGAGAGCATGTGTGTGCACACACAGGCTGCATTTTCCTCCTGAGGAAGGGCAAAGAGGAGCACTTGGGAAAGCCCCTGAAGCCTCTCTTACCAGTGCACTCTGCATCAGACTGAATGCGGATCCAGCCTGCTGTGCCATTCCTCCTCATCCAGACTTCTCCGTATACAGGTTTCCCATGACGGATTGACTTGACCTCACTAGCACATTTGACCTCAGTGAAGGATGGGTGCAGACCGTCAGGGCAGCTCAGCATCACCTCCTCATTCTGCCTGTAATTCCTTTGGTCTGGTGTCAGCTGGAGACTTTGATCCCATCGGGGTCTTTGGCACATTCCTGGGAGAATCAAAGAGGGTGAATGTTGGCGAGGGCTGCAGGATGACCAGGTGGAGCAGAGGAGAAAACAAGGTTGTCAAGAGTCACTCATGATGGAGACTACCATCGTGACAAGACATTTCAGGCTGGCTTGCTGGGAGGTGGCTCTCCTTGTACCTCTCATCCTCGAACTTCTGTGCTCTGCCCTTGTGTGCTTGGACAACCTTGGCCCTCCACCACATCCCACAGTAAAGAGAATCCAGGGAGAATCACAGTGGCAAGAGCAGGTCCCCTGTTTCCCCTCATTCTGACATGACACCCACCCAGCACAGGCTGCTGTCTCCCCATAGCCACTGGCCCCCATGTCAGCCTGCCCCTCAGGGCCACAGGGCACAGCCACCCCTGTTGGGCTGCACTCTCTCCAGCCACAACTAGTCCGCACTCCTGAAGGTGTGGGAGGTGTTCCCTGCCCACATACTTTGTCACTCGCCTCCACAGAGATAATACAGATCTGCTGCTGCCCATTTACTGACTCACCCTGTGATTCTGCTGCTTCCTTCCTGCCCACACCCCCATGCACCCGGGACATGAGGCTTTGTCTGTTCAGGTCCTCTGCTTCACCACAGCCCCTGCCCCTTTCCTCTGACACCAGCCTGTCCCTTGTCCCCTTTCCTCCTCCTGGCTCCACACATCCTTGCTCTCCTGGGCTGAGGAGGGCACAGGTACAGAGTAGATCCATAGCATGTCCCCACACAGCATGCCGAGTGCTGCAAGGGCAGGTTTTGTCATGAGGCTTCCTGCAGGCAGTGATGCTCACACATGCAAAATGAGCACTTCCCATTCCAGACTCTGCAAGGTTTCTCAGAGCGCATCTAGTGTGACTGTCCTGATCCTAATTGGACCTGGCAAATAGCTGACAGGTATTATTTCATTTACTGAGCAGCCACAAAGAGGTACAAACCTCGTCTGTAAACCAAGAGTTGATTTGGAGAGGGTTTTGTTTTTGGTCAGCCCTGGTTACAGAAGGCAAGTTTTGCCCGGCTGAGAACCGCAAGCAGCAGATATGCCCTAGAAACACATCACTGCCCATGCACTTCCTCTGGTGGAGAGACATACGGTCCACCCCATACCCAGGCACATCTAGCTCAGAAAAGTGACAGGCTATTCTTCTTTGCTCTACTCCCAGCAAGGACAGCGCCAGTGTCCCAGAGGACATTTGCTGAAGTTTAATACGTTAAGGTTGAAGGGATTGCAGCATCCTTCTGGATTCTGTCACTGCATAGCAATGAGCAGGGTTGTTACCTTCTCTGGGATGGATTTTCAGTGCTGGATGTGACTAGCCCTGTCTGTGAGGCCTCATCCATCTTTCTCATTCACCCCAACACAACTCCTAGTAACCCTAGCTCCTATCCACATAACTTTCCCAGGAAAAAACAGGTATCCCTGATGACACAGGAGCTCAGGTATCCAGCTGGGCTCCATCTCACATGCTTGAAACAGCCTGAGCACCAACAACCAGGTCTCCTGAAACAGGGGTGTTACTCTGATAGCTACACACTCAGCCTTCACCTGCCCACCACGCAAAGAGGTCCAACTGCTTCCTTCTCTCAGGGACCCTTCCCAGAGGAATGTTGCCGCTCCGTGTTCTTGAGGACTTTTTCTGAACACCAAGATTTGTTGCCCTTCATCTCCAAATGCAGCTTCATGTCACCACAGTCTGGCTGAGGTGCAAGTACCTTGGACCCTAATACAGGCAAAGCTCCAGTCCACTCGGATCCAGCTCTTGCATGCTGAACCTGGTAAAGATGCACTGCCAACTTACAAGAAGGGGAACGGACAAACATCTTGCAGAATGAGAAACTCTTACCTGTTTCCTGAGGCACTCCTTGGACTTTAGGACCAGATTCTTCCTCTCCCTGTACAGCCCTCAGAGGTGCAAGGATCAGAAGAAAGGCCAGAAACAGCCATCGAAAGACCATGTTAATCCCAGGGCAGCACTGAAATCTCAGCACTGCTTGCTGCCTGTCAGCTCATGCAACTAAAAGCAAGAGAGTACAACCACAGGAAGGAAACAACCATGTGGGGAAATTGCATGTGTTGCAAGAGTCTTCCTCTTTGGAGATGGAACCTCCCACTGGTGGCAGAGCTGCTGCCTTTTACTATATGTGTACCATGGACACCCAGGCACTGGCTCTCACCAGGAGGATCTCACCACTAGAATCACCATTGCCTCCCAAACCTGCCTTGTAACTAGAGAGCACTTAAGAAACCCTGCTCACGTTTCCATTTACAGAAGTTGTCATTAATGCTCTGCAAGAACCTTGTGTGTTGCCTGTTTCCTGTTCAATGCTTCCTCCAGAAAATGTGGGCATGGTTAAAGTCTCCCAAGAAGACCAAAGCCTGCAAACATGAGGCTTCTTCCAGCTGCCTGCAGAAGCCCTCATCTACTTCTTAATCAGGAGGCCACAGCACATACCTGCAAGAGGATCACCCATGTTAGTCTGCCCCTTAACCTTGTCCCATAAAATCTCTGTCAGTCCATCGCTCACTCCCATGCAGATGTCCATGCATTCCACCTGCTCTATCACATAAAGGGCAACTCCTCTTCCTCATCTTCCTGGCCTGCCCTTCCTACAGAGCCTGAATCCATTCATTGCAGCATTCCAGGCCAGAGAGCTATCACATCTCTGTCATCTCTACAAGATCAACAAGAGCAACTACACAGAGATCTCCAGTTCCTCCTCTTTTTTTCTTTTTTTTCCCCTCATGTTGCAAGCATTTGTGCTCTTTCTTCCCCACAGCTCCACCTTTTGCTGCCTTCTTTCCCTTCTCAGCCTGGGAACCCTCTTCTCTGGCTCCAGGTGAACTCATTATTCAATCTCTAGAACCTGCTGAGCACCTGAAGTAACCCTACAGCTACCAAACTATCTACTACCCACATTCCTCTTGCTTGGGGAATCCCTACCATCCCCATGGTAGGGATTTCTTCCCACTACCATGGCCATATACCCAGGGAACGATCTGTCTCCCTGCTAATGGTTCTTGGGTTAACTTCGAGGAAGAGCTGCCACGCCATGAAGTTGCCTCTGAAACCCACATCATGTTGTAAACTGTAAGTTATATCTTTTTGTGCAAAACAACTACGTGAGGATGTTGTGCTGAAACCTCCAGGGTTTCCTGTTTGCAGCATGCCTAAGTCACCTTGCTGCCTGACAATATTTCACCGAACAGGGATGGCTATCACCGCAAGTCTTCTTCAAATGACTTTGTCCCCACACTCTGGCAGCAGAAAGACTGAATCCTCCCCCGAAACTGCTTTTCTCCCCACCCCCCCTTCTTTATGCTTTCTCGGAGAAACTACAATTAGATAAAACATCAGAACAACAAAAACAAAGAATCATTCATCTATATAGATTGCAGTTAACTGTATAGATTGCAGTTAGATGAGGAGGAGTAAAGGAGGTTGGTAAAATGTTATAGAAGACCAACCAGTGAGAGACCACACACTTGCATTTGTGTAGCTGTGTGCAAGAGGTGCATGCACAAAAATCAAACAACCATGAGATCTGGCTCCAGAGGTTTCCTAGTCAGAGTGGGAATTTCCATGTTCTTCAGAGCTGCCTCCTTCCCTCCTTGGAGGGATGAAGGCATCATATGCAAGGTGTCAGGCTTCTGAGATCTTCTGAGGGGCCCGCTCTAGTCCAATCTGTTCCTCAGCTGACTCAAGTGTCATCATTTAATCCTGCTCAGAAATGTTCCAAGTGTTTCTCAGCCCTCCCCTAGTCAGTGGGCTGACAGTGAACACTGTTTTTGAGCCTCCCTGCTCCCCTCTTTGGAAAAAAATTCCTATAAGCTCCAGGAAAGTTATTCCAACCAGACTGACCTCTGCTGTCCACATAGGACAACTTCACGTGTTCAGAGCGGCCATGCCCATCAGTTCCCAAAACTGTGACTACAGAACAAACTTGACCATACAGTGCAGAAGCAGCTGTGGAAAACATCTGGCACAGGACTGATGCACGATAGCACCAAAATCCTGAGGGAGACGCCAATATTTGGTACTGCAAAAGCTGATTCTCATGGATAAAGCACAAAAGGAAGCTCCAGAACAGGAGTGAAGGAATGGCCTGCAGTGATCACTGTAGAGCACGGTTTGAGTCATTTCACGTAGACAACCAGCTAACAGGAAGACAAAGAACAAATAGTCGCCATATAGAAAAGATAAAGAACCAGACTGGAGCCACAAAATGCCCAGAAAAAGAAAAGAGAGGCAGAAGAAGGTCAGTCATTAGCCTAAAAGATCACTAAGGGAGAGATGACACTGATGCATGTGCACACAACACCGGGAAAGAGTGCAAGGACAGGGAGGAGGGGTGATCAGACATGGGACAGCAGAGGGGCTAAGGGGACCCAGGACCCCCAGCTTTGCCCATAGCACAGGCTGTTAGGCTCAGTGTGGGTCAGAGGGTCACAGGAGCCCTGCTCCCAGTCTCCCTCCTCCAGACGGGATTAGCCCAGCTTCCACAGGAGAAGTGACCCACTGAGGGGACCAGGATGAACTGTAGCAGAGCATGCAGCTCCCTCCAAATCATGAGGTTTATTGATTGTAAGAACACAATGGGCAGAGTCACAAGGCCAGCACCATGAGGCCAACTGTAAGCATAAATGTGGCTTGGGCTGGACATCACCATATGCAGCTGGCAGAGAAGGCGGGAGCCCAGCCAGAGGCAGCAGCATATGCCAGCTCTCAGTTTTCCCGTTATCCCAACCCTGTTCATCCATCCTCATCAAGCAGCTGCCATGCTGGGCTGAGCTTCTTCCTTCCCTCTCTGCCACACATCCATCCAGAGCCATCCATCCACTGAAGCAGGAGGGTTACAGCAACAAGCGCCCATGGGAAGGAGATGCTTGGGTCTCCAAGGCCAATCACGTGGCCTGATCACAGTGAAGGGCGTTCAGCATACATCTTTGCTGACAGAAGCAGTTCATCCCAGGCCTTGAGCTGCTCTTGTTCTGCAAGAGAGTGTTCTGGAGACTGGTAAGCGCTTTGAAGAAGCTGCTTTGTGCCCTGAAAGAAACAGCTCAGTCCTCTGCTGGATAATGCTCCAGAACTGACCGCAGTCACAGCAGGGTCTGGGGAAACAGCTGCCATGAGCACTGAGCTGGCATCATCTTCCTCGTCTTTTCTGATGCTGCTCTGTTCTTCCCATCTCCTCTGGCTGAGGATAGAGATGGAGTGACAGCTCTTCAGCCTCATCGTGCTTACCTGCAGAGACCAGGGCAGGGGCTGCCATGTGCCCTCAGCACGGGTCAGGGCAGCCAGTCCCTGGGCGCTGTCCCTGCTGCGATGCCTCCCAGCAGAGCTTTTCCCACCCCATGCGTGGGTCAGCCCCTCATGTCCTGCCCACAGCCCTGGGGCCCTGCGAACCTTCTCCTGCAGGTATGTGGGGAGACACACCTGGGCACCCTGGGTCCTACCTGCATTATTATCTGCCAGAGGACATTTCTTGATCACAGAGTAAGAGTCCAAGTTTTCATAGGGCTGGAGCTCTGTTGGGACAGAACAGCTTGAGGAATGGGAGGAGAAGAAATGCGGCAAACCCAGGCAGGGAGAAGCCCTGGCACCTGACACAGCCTGTGGCACAAACACATGCAGGGCCGTGCAAAGGTGCTGCTTCCCCAAGCAGGGCAAACATGGCCAGGAGATGCCAGGTCTCTCTGGCGCTATTAAGGACCCCAGCAAGAAGAAAACTCGGCAGGAGCTCTTGGCAGGGAGGGGAAAGCCACAGGGCAGATACAGGGCACATTGCTCTGGTAGGTCAGCCAGTACCAGCTAGGCTCCTTGCAGCTACCCTGGGATGGAGGAGGATGGGCAGATGTTTCTGCCAAGGGTCAGGACATCCTGGAGACCACCTGCTGCCCACCTCAGCACTGCAGCCATCTCTGTGAAGGTGGCCCCAGAGAATCATCTGGCTCCTACCTGTGTAAAGATCCTCCTTGGCGTGGCTGATCAAGACCTTCTTTTTCCTGGGAAGACAAAGGCATTCTTGAGAGGGGCAAGGCTGGCATGGCCAAAAGCCCTGCCCACCCCGTTAGCAAATAGATGGAGGGCTGCTTTTGGCCTCCCATGAACTGCTAGAGTAGTTGCCCACCAGCACCTCAAATGACAGCAACAGTTGCAGGAAGAATCACAAGAAAGAGGGTCCCTCAGTGTCTGTGGCCCCTGTCCCAGCCCTAAGGAAGATGCTTACAAGTCCCAGGCTGGAGCCTTACAGACAAGCCAGCGTGGGACTACCCGGCTGGCCAGGGTACTACATGACCCAGAGGGTGGGAGCACCAGGGGAGAGGACCCTCACCAGGGGCTCTGAGTGCCCCTGATACCAGCACCATCTGCCTCCCAACACACAGGAGACAACAGAGAGATGACTCAGGCCCCCCGGCCGCTCACCTGGACAGCACAAACCACAAGATCCCTGCGCACAGGAGGACGAGTGCTGAGAGTGCAGCAATCAGTGTGACCGCAGTCCAGGGCCATGGAGCCAGGGCTTGTCCTGCAACTAACACATAGCTGGGGATGAGTGTCACAGCCTGGGGCAAGGGTCCTGGAGGGCCCTCAGTCTTGGCGCTGGGTGTGTGCACACACTATATGTGTTCTGCCATCCTGGATGATGCAAGGGGCAAGCAGTGAGGTAAAGGCCTTCAGGACTTCCAGTCAACACAGAGGAAAAGGGTCTCCAGAGCAGGGGTAGTTGACCCACCTCCCATAGAGGACTGGAGGAACTGGAAGCTCTTTCAGCCCAGGATCCAACCAGGATACACAGCTCTTCTGGCTCAGCAGCCTCAGCCCTATTGAGCCACAAGATACCCCCATGTATTAATATACTGAGGCATTTTTTATGGTGAGATTTGTGTTATTCAGGGGCCATAAGGTAAGAAACACCATTTATTTCTGCCAAAGTTACATGCTAGATGTAAGGAAAAGCCTTGTAGGCATGACCTCCTAGCTCTGCAGCTGTACCTCATGGTTCATACAAAAGGATGCTGAACTGCTCCCCCTGTCTATCTGCTGTGCTCTTACTTTTTGCCTGAATTAGGTGGAAGAGTTGGGCCAGCTCTGCTCTCACAAACCAAAGATGATGCAATGCGTTGGCCCTGGGGGCCAGAAGATGCACTCAGTTGAAGCAGGACTGTACCTCTTGGTTTAGTTATCCGAGGTGTATGTTGACTTACCTGAAATGTATGTTTGAAATTCCAGGACTGATGCATCCCCAGCACCAGCTGCTGTCAGGCCCTGGATTTCCACTGTGTATTTGCTGCCAGGTCTCTGATGAGGTGGCAGGTACTGCGTGACAGATGCGTTCACCGTCACCCGCTCGGATTCAAGGAAGCTGCCATCATGTGCTCTTCTGGCTGTGATGTTCAGCTGGAGGAAGGACAGAGAGCTGCTGAGCAGCACAACTCCCCAGTTTGTATGTCCAAAGCTGCCCTGGTGGGACATTCCTGGAGTGGTGAAGGAGATCCCCTGTGAGCCCGTGGTACCCTGTACCTGGTATCCAAGGACCTCCCCTTTGCAGGGGGGCAGCGGCTTCCACTTCAGCAAACCGGTGTTGTGGTCCATAACCAAACCCTCTGGTTTGTCTGGCACTGAAATCACAGAAGGACAGAGTCACACATGTTGCTGGGGAATGGGTCTAAGCCTGGAGCAGGGTGCAGGAAGCTCCTGGCCAAGGACAATATCTCAGAATAGACTCCTAAAGCAGGATTTGCTCTCCCGAAAGACTACTGCAGCTCCAGGAACAGCAGTAATGTGACAGAGAAGATGACTTTGAGGAGGGCATGTGCTCTGCTCTATGGTCCTTCACAACCCCTGCCCCCTGGCTCTGAGTGCCCCTGATACCAGGACCATCACTGCAGAAGGCAGATGCTCAGACTGAGCTGCAGAGGGAAGAGAACATTTACACGACATTCATACATGCTCATACCGGTTTCCTCTGTCTTGACCAGCCGTGTGTACAGGACCGTGCTGGGGGGTAAGGAGATGGTGACACTGTAGACAGTGAAGGGCTGCAGAAGGGGACAGGTAAATGTCCCCTTCTCTCCCCGGAGCATCTCCTCTCCGGTGATCTCCTCAGCTTCACAGGGAGGGGAAGCAGGCCAGGCCAGACGGCACATGGCCCATGTTTGCTGGCAAGCATGAGGGAACCTGCAGGTCCAGTTCAGTTTGATGCTGCTGGCAGAAACTTCCAAGGTCCCAGGGACAACCTGGAGAAGTTCTGTGAAGGAAACATCACAATCAGATCGTCTCCTTCCCTTCCCTCCTGCCCTTGCAAGGGTGCTACAGTCAGAGAGCCCCACTCGCCACCCAGCAGGGAAGAATGGGAAGCATAAGGCTGATGGCAGTCATGTATCCAATTTGAGGAGCAGGAGCATTTTGGGATCATGAGGTGCTACAAAGACAGGTATGGCTTTCTGGTCTGACTCCTGATGCTTGAGAGGACTGTGCCCATTCAGTCAAACTTCAGCTTCAACCTACTACATGATCTGACAGGATATGGCCTCACTGCTCCCTCACTTACCCACACAGGTCATATTTCCCTCAATACGGTGCAAGTTGCCCGTGCCATTCCTCATGTGCCAGATGAGCTGAGGAGCTGGATATTGCTGGCGTGGATTTAACTTGACACAAGTGATCTCCATGGGAGGAGGCCAATGCCCCTCAGGGCAGCTCACCACCACCACTTCATTGTGCCCGTAGAACGTCTTGTCTGGAGAGAACAGGAGCTTGGGATCCCAGATGGGCTTCCAGCATTTCTCTGAACCAACAAGATGCATAAACATTAGCAGGGCAGGAGACTGGCCTGGCATGGAAGGCAAAGGGAGGGTGATACCCCTCCCTTGCACAGTATGATGAAGGAGATGGAGGGAGCTCTGGGACATGTTGGGAGAGGAGCCCTCCCACACCATCTCCCCAGGCTGGAGCTAAGGTAATGAAGAGGTCCACACTGCTTCCTTAACGCCTCCTAGGAAAGACCAGGGGAATCTGGCAGCTCCCAGGTCCCTGGGGCTCCAAGGAATGAACCGTGCAATTCTCAAAGCTGGTCCAGAGAAGCTGAAAGAGGGACAAAAGGGGACAGAAGTCGATCACAGTGTCCAGAGGAGGCATCTCCCATTGACCCACTTACCATTGCACTTCACAGGCTCCTGAATGCGAATCCAACCACCAGAGCTGGTTTTCCCCAGCCACATATATTGGTTAACAGATCCAGGATAACGCATAGACTGGGCAGTCTCTGAACATTTGACATTGGAGAAATCTGGAAAGAGACCCTGGGGGCAGCTCAGCTTGACTTCTTCATTCTTTTGGTAGTTTTTGTGGTTGGGTGTCAGCTGGAGTTTTTGATCCCACTGAGGCCTTTGGCATGTTTCTGGCAGAGGCAAAAGTAGATGTGGATTAGTTAGGGTAGTGGGACGACGTCAAGGCTGTCAAGAGTCACCTATGATGGAGTTCATGTTTCAAAGGAAGAAGGGGAAAGTGACACATCCCTTGGTCATGACATGACCAATCAGTCTAGCCTGGTGGGAGAAGGTTCTCCTTGTGAGCATGAAGCAGGACTGACCACTTCTCTGTTTTGTCTGATGGTTCGCAGACACTCTTAGTCCTCTCGTATCCTGCAGCAAGAAGTTTCCTGGAACAATCACTCCCTGTAAGAGATGGCTTCTTGTGTGAAGAGACATGTCCCTGTTCTCCCATATATCTGCTCACTGGATGCCGCAGTGAGAATGCATGGATTGCTGCATGTAGTCATCCCCACACACAGGCACACTCTGCCTGTAGTGCCTGCAGGGGGACATTGCTCTTGCCCTCAGGCATCACTCCACTACCACCACTCAGGATGTCAAGGGCCACCTGAGCACTGACTACTCAGGACTCCCTTTGTCCTTTGTCCTGAAGCCTGGCTGCAAACGTCTCAGTGGCAGCCTTGGCTGTAGTGACCAGGAGAGAGGAGTCTGAAATCCTGAAGGCAGGAAGGAGGCCTTTATATATATAGCCCAGCCATCAAGAAGGCAGATGTCTTCTTACTCTGAGCCTGGTGAGGGGGTTCACATGAGAAGCAAAGGAAGTGAAGAAAACTGGCAGGTCCATAAGGACAGGCACCTCCAAGCACAAGACTGGTCTGTCTCCACACTCAAGGAAATGAGCAGAGGAAATCTGCTCAATTGGCTTGGCTGAGCAGGGCGCAGAGTTGCAGCACAGCAAACCCATGGGAGATGGAAGGAATTTTCTAGGGCAGCTAGGACAGAGGGTCTGATGTCAGGCCAGGGTATTGGGATCCTGGTGGTGTGGGGCTATGCTTACCCTTGCACGTGGCAGTCCCATTCCACAAGGTCTGGCTCCTGCTGGAAACACACTTGAGCGCAGGGACTGATGGCTGGTAGCCCTCAGCACAGCTCAGCTGCACCACATCATTCAAGGCATAGCTGGTCTTGCTAGGAGCAAACCGCAGCTTGGAGTCCCAATTGGAGGGGATTTTGCATCTTCCTGTGTGCAAAAAAAAAAAAAAGAGGGAGACGTTCAGCAGACTCTGGCAGCATCTATGAGGTGGTGGGACCTCATCCAGAGAGGTGTAGGCCCCTCACTTTTCAGAGGTTGCATGGATAGGCCCTACCTGGATGAGATTCCTAGACCAACCCCTGGTGCATTTACCCCAGTTGCACTGAGGGGTAGCGCAGGATGGAGATGGATACCTGTGGGCATGCCTGTTGCATGCCTCTATGTGGACACTTCCTCCTTAACACGAAGCATCCTGTCACCCTCAGACCACAGACTTCACTGTGACAACCAAAAGTCTCGACAGATGTTAAACCCTTGACTGACTCAGTATGTGTTTAGCTGGATATCCCCAGGATGATACAACCCCTCTCTGGCGATTAAGGTGAGGAGGAGACATGGAGCCTTCCACTGCAATAGAGAGTGAACTACCCACCATGGCTAAGCTTTTGATGGGGGTATGAGCCACAAAGGAGTAAATCCCTCTGCAAGGCAAACTAAACACACTTAAGCAGACTTTCACACGTGGTCAAGGATGTTGGTTTTCCTGTTGGTAACCATCACAAAAAAAAAAAAAAAGGTCAAAGAAGGCTGTCTATCCCTGTGGTTAAGTATGATATGAAAGGCCCTGCAGAAACACCTTACCACAGAAGAAGGACAAGGTTTTCAGCAAGAGCACAGTCTGGCTCAGTATGAGGCTAAGGATGACCTGAAATGCAGTAGTACTCTGTTAAAAATAGGTTGAATTACAAAGGAAGTAGAAAACAGGAGACTGCAGGGAAAGAGCTGTGCAGGCCATGGGACAAGAGGGGATGAAGTCAGTGAGAGAAACTAGAGCACAAGATTGCTTTACATAGAGCTCACTGGGGAGAGGAAGGCAAGCAAGGCTACGGCCATAGGCACTGTCAGCAAGTAACATGACCAAGGCAGAGTTTTTCATGCTTTTGTTGTTTAAATCTGGCCAGAAAGTGTGGATCATTTGACTTTTCATACCTATCACGAAACAGCAAGAACACAGGATGAACAGGAGAAGTGGGAAAAGCAGACACCTATGGTAGACGTGTAGAAGTGAGCTGCATTAATTCCCTGATGATACTTGAAGAGCACAACCTGCAGCAAAAGTTTATGCTCTTATATTCTCCATATTCCATAAACTCCCCTGACCCCCTTCTGTGCTGCAGGTGCCAGCTGCACTGTACAGAAGGTAGCGGGCAGAACCTCAAGTTGGTGCTCCACTCCTCTTCCACAGGTGCAAATCCAAGAAATCCCCCCCACTGATTCAGAGCCAATGCCACTACCAAATGCACCACAGCTGTCTCCATTCCCCAAGCAGAAGGTCAAGGAGGAGAGAACTGTGAGTACTGAGAGGGCTCATGAGGGGTGAGCTGTGGGAATTGGAAACACGGGGCAGGAATCACTAGTGAGACCTGGAAAAATCAACTTCACACTTTATTTTACAGACAGCTGAGAGCTGCCCGTGGCCCAAAGTATCACAACTAATTAGAGATGGGTAACATGACTCATGTAGCATAGAATGACTTTCCAAGCCACTTCTGCTCACATTTCCCTCTAGAGGCAATGACTCAACCCTTTGCACCCCAGCTTCTGGTGCCAAGAGAAGCTGTTAAACTCTCTGTCACTTGGGGATCTCAAAGGGTGCTGGGGGAAAGCACAATGGAAAGCATAAATGTGCCACGGGAAGAGTCGTACAGAACCTTGGGAGGTGCAGGTCCCTGGGACGACTCTCCCAGCTTTAGTGGGGAGCAGAATAAGGCTGTTAAAGAACAAACCCACCATGCCATAGCTCCCACCACTGTTGTTCCCAGGGTTTCCAGGTCAGAACAGGCATCCCCACTGATGCAGAGGTTCAGCTTATAGCTCCTGAGGTCTTTGCTGAGGACAAGCACCTGTCACCCAAGTAATGGGGACATTGCTGCAGTGGCCCTGGAGAGGCTACAGGCTTCCTCTCCTGGGCAGACTGCCCGCTCCTCAGGAATATTGTGGTCACTGTTCTCTCAGAGGCTTTCCCATCATCCTGAGGCTTGCTGCCCTCCTCCTCCTCCGAACACAGCTTCGCACCACTGATGCCAGACTGTCCCAGGACATACATGGATACTAGTTTCAACACTCTACAGCAAAGCTGATGTGGGACAACTGGGGCAAATCTGCAGAGCAGACTCGTACAGAGGGAAGCAGCAAAACCTTCTCTTGCAGAGAGAGGAGAAACCAGCCCTTACCTTTATCCTCAGCCGCTCCTTGGGCTTTGGGAGCAGAATCCGTCATGCCCTGCGCAGGCAGCAGAGGTGGAAGGACTAGGAGAAAGGCCAGAGCCAGCCCTTGCAGGTCCATGCTACCATACAGCCCCAGGGCAGGACTGAAGTCGATGTCCCTCTCGCTGTCCCTCAGGACCTCTGTGTAACTGAGCAAAAGCAAGGTGCAAACACAGAAAAGAAACCGTATTGGAAGGAAACTGCCTGTGGTAGAAGAAGCTTCCTCTTTAATCAGAGAGCCTCCTATCGGTGTCAGAGCCACTCTCTTTCCTTGGCTATGTGCTCAGGGTATGTCATAATAAGATCACCCGATCTTATACTCTATCACCTTTGCTCCTAAATCTCCCTACTTGTTGCCTTAAATCATTACATCTGCAACAATCCTCCTGTTGAGCCTCACCTGCAGCAGATCTGACCTTCCTTCCCTCCTTCCAGGCCTGATAAAATCTCTTGAACAAGACAGAGGTATCCTGCCTGTTTTGTCCTCCAGACCTCCCCTGATACTTTGCAGTGATGTTGCTGTCTACATCCCAGCTGGGATTATGGTGCTGGTCCTTTCCTAAGAACCACTATTCTCAGCACTGCAGGACATCTCAGTGCATCTGTCCACGCTGCCTCAGCACATCAGAGACCTCAGGGGGTTCCTGGAAGCTAGATGTCTCCTGTTATCAGCTCAGAAAGATCAGTACATCAAACCCAGCCCTTTCCCATGCAGAGTTTATGGGATGAATTGGGTAAAGCTTCCTAGCAGTCTTGCAGAGAGGAGCAGCAAAAACAGATCAGGCCTTTCTTTTTCTCTTGGAAGGTCCCTGGGCTTTGGGACTGTGGTCTTCCTCTTCCCACGCAGCCAGAAGAGGTGCAAGGACCAAGAGTGTGGTCACAGCAAAAACTTACGGGGTAATGGCATCATCAAATCCCAGGGTAAAATGTAGACGCACACACTGCTTCTCTTTGCAGTAAAAAAGAAGCAAAAACAGTGAAGACAGATGACCAAATTTGGGAAATGCTTTTGATATACAAGACTTCCTATTGCAATTGATCATAGAATCATAGAATTATTATTGTTGGAAAAGATCTTCAAGATCAAGTCCAACTGTATATCCATCAACACCATGTCCATATTCCTTTTCTTTTCCCCAGTCCTTAAATGCATTGGACCCTTGAAATCTGTGTATGACCTCCTTCTTTACAGAAATTTACCGATTTTAAAGATTCATTCTCTTATCAGAAAATAGGCACGAGGAGAGTGCTGAGCACATACTGAAAGCCACAGCATTCATTCACATGCCCAGCTCCTTCACAGTTTACCATTAGAGCTGCTAGGTAATTAATGGTGACTTATTTCAATGGGATCCCCATAGCAGAGTTCAAATAATGTGAGGTTTCCAAGGGCTGTAAGGTCACACAGCAGCTCATAAATCCAAACTCTGTAGGACATGATCTGTGGGAGCTGATGAGCTCCAATTCCACTTGTTTAGCTTTCAATAGCATGTCAGGTGGGGGCTGTGGTCACTTCACATACGCTGCTTTAGCCCATGCAGCAAGATTGACTCCCATAAAGTCATCTCAAAACAATATTTCAGATGTTTTCTAATTTGAATTTGCTATTCCACATGTACATTTTTGGTCATAATAAAGATAGCCAGCCAGATGCCTTTGCCTCAAAACGTGTTCATGTTGATTTGATCATGATAAATATAACTGGAGGGCTGTCTTCTGAATGTCCATAGAATCATAGAATCAATATCATTGGAAAAGACCTTCAAGATCATTGAGGCCAACTTTAGTTCAATTCATTCACCAACGAATGAACAAGACTCAGACAAGAGAGAAAAAGAAGAGAAACCAAAAAGAAGCCATGCCATCCCACTGGACCTATCAGCTGCCTCATCCTCCTAGATACATTCCTGCCCCAGCATCCTGCCTCACGGATCTGCCTCAGGGACACCTCCAGGGACATTCCTGCCCCATGGCCTTGCCTTGAGCAATGTCTGCCAGCCCTTTGCCTTACCTCAAGTGGGAGTCCTGTTGTGTCATGCTCTGCTAGCCAGGCAGTACTTGCAGAAACCCCAGTTCAGCCCTGTGAGCTGCTAGACTGTGCTGCCCAGTACTCCAGGAAGATGAAGCAGAGACAGTCATGATTTCTTTCAGATGTCTAGAGTTGTGAACCTAGGAATCCTCCAGGCCCTTCCCAAATAATAAAACCCAGACATCCTGGTCCTCTCCATCGGGTCATCCCCAGAGCTGGGAGAAGAGACCTAAACCTATAGGCAGAAGGAGGAGCCCAAATAGGTCTGGGGTACAGAGGGATCCCTTCAGAGTGGCAGTTTGGTCGTGATGGACTATTACAGTCTGCCCTAGGGCCAGAAAAAGAACCTCGGGGGTGTGCAGGGAGCTGTGCTGTCCTGGAAGAGGGACAGGACTGGGGCATCTTTGCTGTCACCCAGCCAGCAGAGCAGCCAGGGCAGGGACTCCCTCTTGTGGCACTGCCGTTTGTGGCTGTCATCTCTGGCTAGCTGGAAAGGTGACTTACAAAGTCATGAGCTCTGTCCTTGGCCTGGTCTCCAGTAGGTCAGATGGGATGGGCTGAGAGCTGAGGTATGACGTATGGCAGCAGGCCACCCAACAGGGCACTTGGGTCCCACTGGGATGCCCACCCTGTCTCCCGCTCTGTTCTGGCATGGGTTGCTACAACAAGCTCCTTCCAGGAGAGGGAGCAGGACCTCATGTCTGTCTTCTGGCATGAGCATCTCCCCATCCTCCTGAGTCCAGCTGTTACTGCCCCAACAGCACATCCCTCTCCCCAGCTGCATGGGCCCAATGCAAGCAAGCAGCTCTGCCCTGCTGCTACAGCCTTGGCACGTTGCCCTCTGCAGGGCCAGCCAGCCCAGAGCTCCTCCCCTCCTTGGTTCATGCCAGCCTGGCCTTAAGCTATAGCCTACTTCTCCCTCAAATGCAATCGCGCTCTCCTGTGTGCTGCAGCACCCTCCCATCTGCTGACCACCCAGAAGGATATTTTTAGCACACGGAATTGAACATAAGCAGTTTGCAGCTGCAAGCAGGGTGGAGCAGGCCTGGGGAAACATGGGATGCTGCATTTGGTCTGGTTTGATGAAGGTGTGTTCAGAAACGAGGTTTCCAGCCCTGTCGTCTGAGCAATTCCACATCTGCTCCAGCTGTTCCTGCTCCCACCCCTCGAGCCATCTTCTGCACGTTCCACCCTGATTCTCAGGCAGGGAGCCTCACTCAGCCCAGGGGACAAGAACTGTGAGATCTGAAGCAACATCTCCAAACAAATGGAGATGCACATCCCCTGCACAGCCTCGCGGTCTTGGGCTGGACACACTAGCTCAGCTTCTCCACCTCACTGCATGGCCGGGCCAACAACTCCCGGTGCTGACCAGGATCTTCCCCCAGCAACACACTAGATGACAACAGCCTCTGTCTTTGGATGAAGCTGCCCAAGCTCCTGGGATGACAGAGCTGATGCTCATAGAGTTGCCCCTGCCAAAGGCTACATCTGCTCCAGACTCCACACTCCAGACATTTCATACCACAGTGTTCCATCTGCCCTGTGGCAGGGGCAGATATTGTGCTTGGGTAGAGCAGTTCTCCATCTCCTAAGCAAATCTCTCAACTGCACTCATTTCCTTCACTACACTGGCGTCTCTACTGCTTCCTCTCCAGCAGACTGGCCAACTCCATGGGCTGGCCCCACAGATCACAGCTCCGTTTCATAGGCTCTCAGTGACGGCTGACGGAGTACATGTGTTCGGCGGAGTCATGACTTTCTCCCTCCATACATGGATCTTAAATAAAGATTTTGGTATTTCCTGATCTCTGTTGTCAGCTTCTACAGCTTCCAGAGGAAAGCAAGTCCTAAGAAACTGCCTATGCCACCCAGGGAACAGAGAAGTGCCGGAGAAGTCCAAAAGGAACCAAATTGAATAGGGAAGAAAAAGCCAAGCGTCTGCTTCCCCAATAAGTTGGAGCCAGTGGCCTGGAGAGGCAATGTGGCACAGTCAGTGATGCCAAAACACTTCTCTGAGGGCTGCACAGCCCCATCATCTCCATCTGGTACCATTGCCTTGGAGGTGGGGATCATTTCACATTGCTCCCATAGGTTCCCAGTGCTGGTCAGAGCTCCTGCCTGCCCCATCCTGGGAAGGGTCTCAGTGCCCTGGCCTTGGAGTTGCCATCAGCAAAGTGCTGGACCTCATTAAAGTCATGGTCTGTAGGGTAACACAGACATTAACCACCTTCACCAAGGTGGTGGCTCCCCAGCTTCCTGCTGCAGCCCACAGCCCCACAGGCCCTGCACTTCATAATACGTGATGGTATTTGAGGGCAGCTGCCGGGTTTGCAAGGTTATTTGTCAGGGAAAAGCCAGAACTTGCTTCCTACAAGCTTCCTAGTGTGTCCATAGCAGGGCCAAAGGCACTGCTTGCAGAGATGGTCCTCTGCTTACCCCCTTTCCTCAGTGCATGTCCCTGCAGGACATGCTGGGAACATACTGTTTTCCCTCAACGTTCAGCATGTTTGAGGCCTTGGTGCAAGTTTACCTTGGTGCAAAAAAGTCCCCACAAAGGCTGAGCAGGTGAGGGAAAAGGCCAGAGGGAGACACCGTGTTCTGGGTAAGACAACATCACTGGTGAGGATGGCATGGTGCCCAGAGCACAGGGACTGGTTGGATATTGTTGTATAAACACATGCATAAAATCATTTCCAGCCCAGCTTCAAGCCAAGGGGGAGATCCTGAGCAGATCTCATGGCTGAGCAGGGGGCAAAGGAAAGGCCCCATCTCATGTGACAGCTCGCACGGAGATCTGTCCCCTCTGGTCCCATTCCTGCCCTGCCAGCAGAAATCCCACAGAGCCCAGGGCCGGTTTTGTCTGCCACGAGACAAACAGGCTGGAGAGACAGGTTCCCAGTTGGGAGGTAATAGGGCAGGAGGGTGGATGCTACTTTGCCCTGGGTCATGGGGGAAAGTTAAATCACTGTCTGGGACGGGAGGAGGGTGTCAGGGCTTCCCTGGGGAGCTTGGTGAGGTGGTGCCTGTGCTGGCTTTTCTTCATGAGAATCCAGGTTACAGAGTATCCACACGGATGCTCCCAAATGTCCCATAATCGGGTGCTCCGCATGTGTCATGGTGTGGCTTGCAGCCGGGTGCTGCACTTAGTTCACCCACAGCCTGCAGCACCGGGTCTCTTCCTGGCTGCAGCTACCCCAGGAGACCATTTTGTCCAGAGCTGGCCCAACATAGGCACAACGTAGGTCTCATCTGGGAGGAGTGGC